TAGAATAGAATAGAATAGAATAGAATAGAATAGAATAGAATAGAATAGAATAACAGAGTTGGAAGGGATCTTGGAGATCTTCTAGTATAACCTTGTGCCTAGGCAGGAAACCCTTCACCACTTCAGACAAATGATTACCCAACATCTTCTTAAAATCTTCCAGTGTTGGGTTATGTCTATGTTCATGAAGAACCTCTATGTCTACTCACCCAAACACTGGGAATCCGTCAAAGGACCATCTGTCTCTGTCCAGTCTATTCTCTTCCCATTGCTGTCAACACAAAATGACTTTTGGGTGGATGGATCTTGGTAAGAAGGTCTATACTGGCCATTTTCATCACACCGTCCAGCTTCCTCATTCCTCTGGCAATCAGTAATACCTATCGGATGGGCATAAATTTTAAAAAAAAAACCTGTGGGGCAGAATTCCATCCGATAGAAGATAATATTTGCAGCTCAGGGTTGAATAGTGGAGTCCTTGTTGCTAGCTGCGTTTGGTTGCTTGCTTGCAGACATTTCATTACCAAACTAGGTAACATCATCAGTGTTTGGTAAGGAAACATCTGCAAGAAAAGAACCAAGTTCAGAAACCATCAAGGACTCCAGAATTCCATTTGTTTATGATTCTCCAGCCAAAGACCTTTCTGAGTGAATCAGACCTTAAGTTGAAGTTTATATCATCTAATTTTCAATGAATATTTACTTCTCTGGCCTAGATGTGAATTCTATACAAAACTATAAGGTGGATTTTTAGCTTTGGCGTAGCACAACGTGCAAATATTATGTTGCAACTATTGTATCTTATTCAACAGGCCATAATTAAGAGAAGCCAATACAAACTCAGATACAACCCAGAATTCTACCATCTTGCTCTCCCATTATTTGTTGACCCAGCCAGATCCAAACAGATGATATAAACATTGTATAAAGGTAAAGGTTCCCCTTGCACATATGTGCTAGTCGTTTCTGACTCTAGGGGGCGGTGCTCATTTCCATTTCAAAGCCGAAGAGCCAGCACTGTCCAAAGACACCTCCGTGGTCCTGTGGCTGGCATGACTCAATACCAAAGGCACATGGAACGCTGTTACCTTCCCACCAAAGGTGGTTCCTATTTTTTTACTTGCATTTTTACATGCTTTCGAACTGCTGGCAGAAGCTGGGACAAGTAACGGGAGCTCACTCCGTTAGACGGTGCTGGGGATTCGAACCACCGAACTGCAGACCTTTCTGATTGACAAGCTCAGCGTCTTAGCCACTGAGCCACCGTGTCCTTTTTCAACATTGTACAGGATACCATATTCTAACCTATAATGTTGCTTGCTTTGCTTCAGTATGTTGTGTAAGCCCACCCATTCTGCTTCTTAAACCAGAACTTATGACAGTGTTACATAAGAACTCAGATAACGATAGTTCACTTAACCAAACCAGATAACTGTGATTTATCCAATAACCAGTCCTTGGTTTAGGACAGTGGTTCCCAAACTTGGCAGAGCTGGCTGGAGAATTCTGGGAGTTGAAGTCCACAAGTCTTAAAGTTG